AGGAGGCGGTGTGGCTTTGTACTGATGTATTTTAAGTAGTGTATTGTACAGTGGTTTCGGAGTAAGAGAGGTAGACCATACTGTTCAAATCACGTCCTCGCCATCGTAGACAGTCGAATCCTTTTTTAGGATGTAGCTGCTCTTATCACTCATGTCTGCTTCTGTGTGCTGGTCGTCGTCCGCAGAATATTCTCCAACGGGGGGTGCGTGGAGTCCGATTAACAAGTGATAAAGAATAACTCCAAGGACGGCACCGATCAATGGCATTAGAGCTGGAACCCAGAAGTAGTAGTTGTCAATCGTAAATGCGCTCACTCCCCAGTCTACAATACAGAAAAGAATAGGATCAGTCAGGAGCAAGGGCCGCTCTAAGGTTGGACTACTTATCGCTATTTAATCCCAGTTATGCAGAAATAAGATGTGTATAAAATAGTACGTACAAGACGCAAGGAGGAGAATACGAGGACCCAAATCACGAGCTGGGTTCAAGGCGGAGCTAGCATTAGCCGTGTACGTGCCAACAGCCATGTAAACAACCATGCCTGCAAGCAGAGGCGCAAATTTGCTCGACTTCTTGACGAGACGATCGTCGCCTACAGCCAGTAGTCCAAACAGGAGTAAAGCGGTGGTGAGTATTTGATCCAATACTGCAGCTCCAACGCTGGAACCTTTTCCAGCCACAAAGATGCCACCGGTTGTGTTGACATAGTAGTGCCCATCATTCTCCTCCTTAGCATATTGGACCAGGTTTTCGTTGTACACAGCAAGGAGAAGTCCAGCCCCTAGAAAACCGCCTACCACTTCCAACACTATGTAGAGAGGCAGAAGAGACCACCTCAGACTGGCTGTGACAGCGTTAGCTAATGCAACTGCTGGATTCATGAAGGCGGGAGAAGCTTTGCCACCGACAATAATCCCTATCACAACCGCGGCACCCCAACCGACACTGATTTCAAGAAATGTTGAAGAGAAAAAGAATTTCTGAGCTACCGCACCATCGCCGTAGAAAATGAGGAATATTGTGGCAAGTGTCTCTGCCATGAGTTGAGTTATAATTGGATGATTTGTCAACCGAATCCGATCGGCGCATCGATGGATTAAATTTCGGTAGGAGTTATACCAGGAGGGACTGGCCCTGTAATTATGCCTTTCACTGTGGCTGACTGACATTCTCGCCTAACGTTCTGTACACAAGAGCGGATACGAAGATTAGCCCTACCTCACAACCCTTTTATAGGTGGAGTTAGATGGGTGGGTTTGTGAGCGCACCCCTAAGTGGGTGTAATGCTTTTAATGAAAACCACATGACTACTTCTCAATGGGAGGTTGAATCCATTCAACGAGCAAAGTTAGGAGGTTAATGATTTGTCATTTGCTTTTACGTTACTGTAAAAATTAAACGCAATGAAGTTTAGTCACTTCTTGTCGAAATGAGCTCAAAGAAGGAGGCTTTGAAGTACATCTTATGCATGATTTGTTTTTTGGAGAAAATGATGTCTATGATGGAAAGTTGCAATTTAATTTTCCCCGTTCTGCTTGGATGCTCTCGATAGTGCCGGGCATTGGATCATTTGCATTAGCAAATTGCATTCCAAAAAGGTGGTGACATGCATTGGCAGAGTAGGTCATTGGGACAGGTGCACACATTGACCACGTGCTTTTGAAATCTGGTAGAAGTCCACCGTATAAAAATAACAGTATTGTCTAACTGCTCTATGACAGCACAAGAACAATATCTCATGCGTCGAAAATGTGAGTGTGAGGAATTTATATTGCGAGCTTTAAAATAACAAAATGGATATTGAGTGACCCATTCATTGTACCAAAGTGATATACAATCGCCTAACTTTCCACCATTAACCAGTCGAAATTCTCTCTTCCAGTGAGGCAACTATTTCGATAACTTTCATTCTGAGAGCGCGTCGAAGTAAGTAAAACTCACTTATGTGATTAGGTAAATTTCACGAATTGGAGATTATAGGGGCCTAATTATTTTTCCACCGTTGTGGTTGTGATAGTTTGGCTGTTCGTCGGTTTTAAGTTATGGTCGCTCAGATGGTCAGTTTGCCGTGCCCTAGAGAGGTGATCTCTTGACCATGAAAACAGCCGCTACTCCCTTCTATTTGTTTAATATATATTCTGCCCAAACATTAAGCATTCTTTTATTTCCAAGGCAGTCATGAGAAGCTACAGCCACACTTTCACTGTTTTCAAAGGTCCTAAATGCGCATGTTAAAGGCGTTTGCAATTACGGATTCTCTAAGTAAATAAACTCAAGGACATATTTTAAAAATTTAAAGAACTGGTAAGCATCAAATTCTAGCTTAAATCAATAAAAGAATACCTAAGTGACACTAAAATATTTATTTGGAACTGAGTTGGGTAGGTGATTTAATTCTCAAAAGCATAAACACTTTAGGATATTGAAGAATACTTAAAATTGGTGGAAAACGAAATGAACTATTAATTCAAGAGGAGTGCATGAAAGTTCGGTTCTCAGCTAATCCGTTTGTCACTTCTTTCATGCACCAATTTGCTTTGGTAGACTAACAGTGCATATGCATGTGCATGATGCTTCTGCCAGATGGAAGTCATCAAAGTATTCGTCCTTTTCAGTAACTTTGCTGATATCCATTTCGAATTTTATCGTGACCTGCCCTCATTATATCACGTTTCTTAGTATTTAAGTAGTCTCATCAGATAAAGTTATGTTTGCTTGCGTAGCAATGTTTCCTTGGTTATCTTCAAAACTGGAGGGTCGGAAGAGCAATGTGGATGGCAGAGCAGTACTGCTGCTAATATGCTTTAGTGTTGGATGGGAATTCACATTTCCTGTTGATCTATCCTCGTTTTCTTCGGAAGACTTCGATCCTTGTAATGTAAGTAAATTTGTGACAAGTTGAGCGGTTTCTCGCCTCCGTCGAGAACCCGAGTCGAGGCGCCGTAGTCTGTGACTATTAATATCCGGCAATGTAAAAGCCTCCTCTTCTTCCTCTCTTGATTTGTCTGCTGAAAGCTCTGCCTTACCAAGGCTATCATGCCGCTGAATTTCAGGCACCTTGCCCATCAAGGATGGCTGTATCGAAGGGATACGCTGATCCAGCAAAGCCTCAGGATTGGTTTGATACCGTGACTTTGTTGGCTCTCCATGGTCTTCTTCATCGGCAAAATTATCAGTCGTGCTTCTTTCAGCCTCCCCCAACTGTGCATTCTCTTCTTGCGTAGTAACATCAGTAGTGACAGACGTCAGCGTATAAGCAGACATTGGAAGGATATTTGGTGAATAATAGTCAATAAAGTCAGTTGTAAATGTTGGATCAGTAGCAAGGGTCAAGTCAGCGTTAGCCATGACTCGTAGAATCTCCATACTAGTGGTGCTTAAACTTGCAGCGGTAACTTCACTAAAAGCATGCATCAGACGTGATTTGGGATCCGCTTCAATCCCAAAGTAGTACGCATTTAAACCATCATCTGAATTGTTGGAAGATCGTCGACGATAGTAATGAGTAATGAGGGCTTGCACCCCCTTGAAGCGTTCAATGAGGCAACATTTTATATTCTTTGTGAGTAAAGCGAGTCTTTGTGCTCTGCGGGGAAAGTCCCTACCATCAGCATTTATCCACTCAACTGCATACAAAATTAACTGCTGTTTCATTCTTTCAACTTCTCCCAAACGTCGAGCGATGGAGTAAGCCAATTTTAATGTTTCTTGCTCATTTTCAAATTTCCCCAATTTGAGTCGTCGATTGGCGTGTGGTTTGGTTGAATGTAAGAGATTTTGCGGTAGAACGGGGACAATATCACTCTCTTCTATAGTGATGACAGCTGCAGCAGCCGGTATCACCATACGAGGTGTGAGACGTGTAAGGCGGGCCTTTAATCTTGTCTGCAGCCTGACAATTAGATCTGCACTTCTGCTTGGGCGTTTAACCCACTTTCCATTGAAGAGATGCAACTGATCCCACCAATGTGGAGCTATGGAGTCAAAGAAGTTAAGGAGAGCAATCACCCTTCTTCTATAGTTCTCCATTTCTGAAGAAAGTGCAGCACCTTTTTGTAGTGTAACTCCAGTAAACGAATTGTAGGGCGCGGTAATAGCGCTATCAACATGTGCCACTTCTGGTTCATTGCCTTTGCGTTGCTGATTTCTAAGGTTGTAAAGTTTGTGCCGCCTATATGCATGATCGAAATCCATGTCGAATAACTGTGGTGGATCTTGCAACCACCCTCTAAACCAGCATTCCAACCAATAAAAATGCACGCCTTTAAGGTGGGTCAATAAAGCATGTGATGGAGGGTGTAAAATCCTCACACCATGCCTATCACCACCGCCACTTGTCAGTCTTCCACATCTTGCCAACAAGGCGATGTGTGACGTAAGTAGAGGTGTTGGCTTCTGTGCAAAAAGTATGGTCTTGTCGAGTGGTACTCTAAATAATGGGTGTGTTGATAGCCACACCCATCCACTCCTTACCACCACTGAATCTCATATCTGTCTGAGAGCTTTTCACTGCCTACTCATCCGAAGCAAATGTGAGAAACCGCTTTTGAAGTGAATTTCAATGAGAGTAAGTGATCAGCAAAGTTTATTTTAGCAAACATCGGTGCCTGGCCATTCCTCTACAAGGCTGTGATGGTGCCCGAGAGAAGTAGCTGGTGATTTGCATGTTGCTTAGCTGTACAAAACCCCAACAACAACATCAACAAAAAAACTAAAGTTTAAACGACTGAGGGAGAAGAGAGATATGGAATTGAAAGAGAAAGGCAAGGGACTAAGGAGAGTGGGAGTGAGGGCTGGGGCGTAGGCGGGGGAAAGAGGATGAGAGGCGACAAGAATTAG